AACATTGGATCTACAACTAGGATTCCAATCCAATACACTCAATATTATGAAGTTTGGGTGCATCACTTTGAAGACTATGTAGTTGGATCTGAAGACAATGGTTATCTAATCTAGGAGGCGATAACATTGGGTCCTTTTGTTCATTATGGAACGAATAAAACCATTAAGACTCAAACGGAGTACAACAAACTCTTTACTGATGTGGACAAGATTTCTCAAGACAAAAAGGATAAGTTGTTGTGTAATGTTAAAGCCAGGGAATGATAATATTTGCTTTATAGTATGACATTTTCGTTTGGTAAGCCCATGCACGACTGAAAAAGAGATCTGGGATAGACTTAAAGAGCTGTATTCCACCATGAGGACCTAGAACATTCCATACAAACTCTAATGCTCTCTGACTTTGGTGCTTTCCAACAAAAGGCTGATGAAAAGCTGATTCAGAAATTCGATTGTTTCAACCATCTTTTGAGCAAGATGATCAAGCATGATATTGGAAGAGAAGTGAGCGAACAGAAGGTTACATTTCTGAATGGATTAAGACCCGAGTGGATGGCTGTGGCATCAACTGTGAAGGCTCACGAGCAGTTTAAAACCTATTCACTGGCGAAGATGGTGGGTATTCTCAAATCTCATGAAAGTGTTGTGTCTAAGGAAGCAAAAGTGGTGTCTAGTACGGGATCCTTGTCCCTTCTATCTAAGGCAAAGAATGTGGCAGAAGATGAGGAAGAGTCATAAATTTCAGAATGTGATCTGATAAGGAAGCAAAAGTGGTGTCTAGTATGGTGTCTAGTATGGGATCCTTGTCCCTTCTATCCAAGAACCGAAACTGGCAGGGGAGCTATAACTCAATAAAAGCGAAAGAGGAGATCAAAAATCATCCTCAGAAAGAAGAAGAGAAGAAGGATAGAAAACTGGTACGAGACTCTGGATACGATTACAACTTCTGCCATGGCAAAAACCACTTTTCCAAAGATTGCATGTTAAGAAAGCTATCGGAGAAGAAGGATGGTGAAGATGATGAAGCATACCATATGCACAAGCTGGAGGAGATAAAGAAGAAGAAAGCCTATAACAATACTATGAATGTTTTGGTTGTGCAGGAGAATGTTGTTGATGATGAGTTTGGTGGCATAGAGGTCTGGTCGACAGACTATTAAGATGAAGAAGTATGTAAACCCACGCATAGCAGGGCATTTGTGGCCAAGGCAGATAATACTAAGTTTGCTGGGAGATGCTTGATGGTGACTGCTGGAGTGTCACAAATGAGGGGCTACACAAGAGAAGGCGAGTATAATGAGGCAAATTAGTATGAAGATAAGTGTTTTGTTTCCATGCCTGTGCGCGAAAGGATCAGCGACTATGATCAGTTGATCAAGAAGGTACAATCCGTTCTCGAATCACTTAAAATACCTGTAACAAGCTAGGAAAAGGAATTTAACGAATTAAAATTCAAGTTTTCTAGTTTAAGTGGTAGTCTAATGCAAACACGCCTCACAAATGCAAACCTAACCGATCAAATTAGTAGGGTGACTTCCAAAAGTGAGGATCGAAGGATGTGGATAGAGAAGATGGAGTTAGACTTAACTAGAGTGAGAGATGAGTTGATATATTTGCAACGTGACAATTTGAAGTTTTTAAAACAAAGGAATATTTTTTGTTTGATTACTAAACGTCTTTACACTAATATTACTCAGTTACATTTAAATTGTGATCTTGGCAAAAAGGTTCACAAAATGATTTTGCCCTTTCGTGAATTAAAGGAGGATGAAGTCGATGTTGATTGCTATAATGGTGAATCTATTGTATCACCAGACAAGATTTTGGATGCTTACAGAATTGGTCTGGACAAAATTGAGTCCTTTATTAAGTCCAAAGACCATAAGGACATGCTTCGGAATTTATTGGACGAAAATGACAAATTGAAAATAAAGACCAAAACCATGCACAAATTTGACTCATTGAGTACCAAATTAAGTTCAGAAAATAATATGAATGTGGAAAATTCTTCTGAATTTAATGAGGACAGTGATATGAGTGAAATTTCTGTAGAGGATGAGGTTGACTACTCTGAATTTCTCAAAAGCGAACCCAAACCAACAAAGCCACTCATATCTGAAAATTCAGTTGAGTTCGCTCGCATGGCCAAGAACAAGTCCAAAGTCCTTAGATAAAAGGCGAATGTATATCAAAAAGTGCAAATTGAACCGAATCAAGTATATGCCACCACTGGAGTTACCAAGAAGCAAACAGTTGAGCTAACTTCCTTGGTTGATGAAGACAACACTAATGGGCATGATCACTTTTTCTGGTTAGCTCCCATTGACAATGCAGACGAAACAGTAGGTCTTTCAGAACAAACCTCTTAGAGAGTCAAGGGTAGATATGTGGTTGAGCCACTTAACAAGCATTCAAGCGTTGATAAGACAAGTACAAGTGGTACTAAAGAAATTCAAAGCGAACTGGTAAAGGCATCAACATAACGTCTCCAAGCGAAGATAGTGAAGAGAAACCATAACCAAAAGAAAATATTCACAAATCTCAAAAGCAACTTGCTAAACAAACATGTCAAAGGAACAGAAGGTACCAGAAAAATCACAAAGAGAGAATGCAGTTTTGGAATTCTCAAAACGCCAATCACGTTCACAAGGTATCGAATCCACAGGTGAAAGGAAGGCCTCAGGCAAATAAAGTCCATGCTCTCACTGTTAGTCGTGCAGTCCAACTAACCGAAGGAATTAATGAAATGATAATCGAGTAAAGAGAGTCAAATCAGAGTAAAAATGAATATGAAATGAACACGAGGAGTAAATATAATCTTGTTTCAGTTCAATTATACTTCCAACTGGTTTATAGAGAGTAAAGTAGACAAATTCTGTAAAGATTCTTAACTAACTCTAAGTAATGTCTATATTTATAGGAGACACGAAAGTATACAAAAAATACTAAGGCATAGACATTAAGCTTCAAACATAAGACACCTTAGTAAATACATTACAAAATATACGAAGGGTACAGACTTTGACTCATTACAATATAATTTCGACCCTTATAATCTCCCCCTTTGTAATGAAGTCCAGTTCTCTCAGTTTGTGAGAATCTGTATGGCATACATCATCACCCTTCGAATTTCAGTGTACCAAGAAATAATCTTCTTTAGCTCCTTCTGTCCCCTTCATTATTCTTTTTTCAATTATTCATACAAACAATGAAGTTCGTATACTGGGACGTCATATACCTTTCAACTTCTCAAGCTTGGAACAAAAATCTTTTGGCTTTTCCACCTTTATCCTTTCCAGCGAAGACCATTCTAAATGGTTTTAAACAGATCTCCCCATCTGCATACTTCTTCAATTCTTATTGTGACTTTTTCGGTTCCATGGGAGCTTTAACTTCTAAACCCTTCACAGTTGCTAATTCCACGTCGGTAAGCGCCAAACACTCGTAGTAATTTTCCAAAAATATCGTGATGTGAGAAACTCCAAGTCGAAAAACTTTAGGATCGGTTTCTCGAAGATATGAAGAATTTTTATCCTTTAAGAGTAATGCAACTTGTATAAGATCATACAAGTTCATCAGTGGAAAGTCTGCCACAGTAAAATCGCAAACTTGTGCATTTGCCCTCGTCACATGAAATCGAAGATTCTACATCATGTGTTCGAATAAAACATCCATCTTGATCTTGATCACTTTCTTTATTTTGATCAAGGACCATACTTCCTCTAAAGCCTTCCCAAGAACAGCATGAAAACGAATATTCATGTAGTTATATTCATCTTCACTCTTGAACTTATCAGAAATCTTGAACTGAGGCATTAAGAACATCATTTCATTGATTGGGAGGTCAAGCTGGTTTCATATCTACATTCAAAACCACATAACTTTGCTTTGGTTTCTTCTCAAATGCATACATGTGGTTATATGCCACCTTTGCCTCTATGGTGTCATAGTTGTAATGTTTCACATGATCTCCCTTATTTATTCCAGGAGGATCATTTAATCTTTGCCTCACGATGCTTTGAACAACTCTTAATTTATCTATCTCAGCTTCAGCCTCAACTTTCTTCTCCTCTTTTGACATTTCAACAACAATTAGCTCCCCTTTGTCTGTTGAAATATCTAGAACACCCTTTGTTTTTGAAGCACCACTTGGACCAGTAGATGAACCAATTATAATCCCTTTCGAAATTGGCTTTATAGTTGGCATCGAAGTCACAATGGTTGAAGTAACTGTCCCAGCAGTAGAAATGACTGCTTTAGTTGATGGAAGTTTCGAAAGAAAATTTTTGCCAACAACTTTAACATCTCCATGTGAAGCTTCACCACCAGCCTTCTCATGCGAATCTTCACCAACTTTCTTCTCTCCCCATTGCACCCCTATGCGAACAGGTGGGGCATCCGTTGGTAGAAGAATTGAAATTTTGGATAGGGGATCCAATTGCTTATGTTGAACTGCTTCAAATTGAGAAAATTTATGAGGCATGAACTCCGGGGTAATAATTGAAGATGAATCTGGCTTCAGCACTGAATCCTTTAATTCTTGTAATAACGAAAGAACCTCCCCAAACTATTGACTATCACTTGTAGAAAGTTGAGTAATTTGAGGACTCAAACTTTCATACAACTTTACATACTTTGTGACTGCATCACAAATAATATCAACCTTCTTATGTAGATTTGCATAGTCTTGTTGAACACTAGCAACCTCTTTGACCATATCATTATCAAGTTCTTGAAGCTTAAAATTGACATCCTCTTGAACCTTTTTCACATCAAGAACAAATAATACATGTCTTTCTTTTTGAACATTTGTCAATTCCTTTACTGCTCCCACAAATTTTGAATCAAGATAGTTCACTCATAACTCATTTGTTTGATCAACATGATCCACCTTCTCTAATATTCTTACCTCTGAGTCTTTAAGCATGCCCAACACTTTGCTCACCATCCGAGCTTCAAATGCCTTCATCAGACCATCAAGTTCAAAACTGGAAACTGAACTACCTCCCCCCAATATCTGCTTGAGTCAGAATAATGGAATTCATCTTCTTATTCAGAGTTTTAAACTGCTTCATGGACATAAGCATATGGTAAGGAAAGTCTTCGTCATCATCATCAAATTGTAGGGCTTCAAAACTTCCTCCAAAATCTCCTTCTTCATTTTCAGATTCTTCCATGGGTTTTGGTGGATCAGTGGATTGGGATGAGAAAATAGATGTGAAAGCTTGATTGATAATTTTTTTAAAAGTAGGTGACTCAGTGGTTGAAGTGGTAGGTATCATATAAAGAGGTAAAGAAACAAAAGCACTAGAAACAGTTTTGATAGGAAGAACAACCGGAATACCTTGGGAAGATTTTGGTGCTTCTTGATGCAAATATCCTTCACCCATGTTGACAATTACATCCATATCAGATACGTTTGTAGTGATGTTTGACATTCGTAGCTTCTCATGTAATGATTTGGCAGAGGAATCTCCGGGTGGTATGACTATAGTCTTCTCAGGAGATGAAGGTTCGATGATAGGAATAACTTCGGGAGTTTCAAACACTTCTTCGTCTCCAGAAGATGGAATTGGAATAACCAACTCATTTTTCTCTATCTTTTTCATCTTCTTAGAAATCCTCTTGGCCATGTCTTCAGCTCTTTGTTTCTTAGATGAAGGAGAAATAGGAGCTGGAACTTCACGTATAAGAACGCCTTGATAATTAAGATGAGGTTTTCGAACCACACTTAAAGATGGAGATCTTTGTGAACCACTATACTTATTCTTAAGTCTTCGAAAAACACCAGACTTTGATGGAATAGTGAAAAAACTGGTTCCTTAACAAGAGGTTCAACTGGCTTAACCGAAACAGTCGAAACTTGGTCATCTTGTTTCGTTGGTATCTTAGGAGACTTCGTGTTCTTTGGTTCTTAAACTATTTGCTCAGGAGTAATTGTTACATTCTTCTTTGATTGTTTGGATTCCTTTGAAGGACATGCAGCTTCTATGGTTAATAACTCCCCAGTTTCAATTCGAGGATCAGTAGTCGTCATATATTACACTAACACAGAATTTGTTGGATCAACACAGTTTAACGTTGCATCTGGAATTCTTACAATGTGTGTAAATATCTCAGGATCATCAGAAACCTCCTTAGGAAAGCAGACAACTGAATCCCTTCTTTATCATAGAAATATCGAAGAATAGGACTTCAATATCTTGCACATAAAATACCTTGCACAACGTTCGTGTTTTCGACACGCTTATCAAATTCCTTCCACAACTGTGTTAAGTAGTCCACAGGAAGATCATAGTGTACATCTACAATCATGACATATACTTCCATCGTTCCTTTATCAAGACCAACATTGCAACTAGTCAAGCAACATAAGAAGATTCCGAATAGAAAATTCCAGAAAGTCGGAAGACCAGAATTCTTAAAATCACTTATCATAGTGAGTGGGGGTTGATGACCCATCTCATTAAACATATGATTGACTTGAGCAAAAGAAAGAGCGTTAAATGGTGGTGTATTAGGAATTTCCAGAATTTGACAGAACAATTTCTTCGTCAAATGAACCTTCTTGTCACTAACCAGATTAAAGGTAATGACATCTAGGGCTTTGATATATGTTGTAGTGGATCCTGCTATTGAAAGCCAAGATAGAGGAACTGCAAAAGAGTTGAACATGGCGGTTGAAAGAATACAAGTTTTAAGAGCAACCACCAACATCTTCATATCATCAGGATAGAGTGATACGCCTTCTTTGAATTGATAGTTGGTTCCTTGGATCTTCATGATCGGTTGAGAAGTAATGTCTTCTATGGTTTGTGATGGTGCATTAACATTAGCATGAGTAGCATGATTAGGGTTTTGATTGCTTCTAAAGAACAAATTGATTTTTGTTGAGAGAATTTGGGAATTTTTCTTTTGAAAGCGTAAACTGATCAAGAACCCCTGAATCCCCTTTTATATGTATCTTTGATGTTTGAATTTGAAGCGGGACATGCATTTAATGAAATCCAACTTGTCACCTTGAAACTCGCACCACTATTCCGATTAAGTAGCCACGAGTGAAAAAGTAACTATCACTTCTCCTTGAAAACACGATAGAATACAAGAAGCCACTTCAATCAACCTGTTTATTTCACCCAATAGAATTTGAATCGTCATCATCCTTCAGATGGAGGTAAAGCTCTTTCACTTTTGTGATTTAAAGTGAAGTCATGTGCCAGATGTTTGAAATCATCAGCCTGAGTTGGTATTACTCAGAACCTCAAGGATTTTGTGGGTTTAGTGTTCAAAAGAAAAAGATAAGAATCAAATAAATAAATAAATAAAAACTTTGGATTTGTGACGTCAAAATCATCTTGACACGAAAGCAGTTAAACCAAAGGCAAAGGTTACTTCGTTAATTATCAAGAGAGATAATCAATTGCTTGTGTGTTTTCTCGTGAATTACAATTGAAAACTTATAGATAAGTTTCGAAGGGCTTCTCTTCCAAGGCTTCGTGGGCGGTGTACACGATTTCATTACATATCATCCAAAACATAAGGTGAGTAATTGTAACATAAATCACTTGTTTAATCAATGTAATCAGTGACAATTATACTTTGAATTAATTCTGAAACAGACTTGGAAATCGAATGAAACTCATACGGAAATCATATTCATGAAAAGAATTTGTGTTCGATCCTGTTGGGTAACAAACATCGTAGGTTTCGATAGTTTGATCAAGATCACGCATACGAAATGAATATGAATTGGAGTTTTGAATCTAGGTGTAGAAAATAATGTTTCATTAGAAACTAGAACAATGTTCCCCATCAATTCCTTAAAAATTTATAGATTTAGGTTTCACTTTCATCACGGTCTCATGATGTCAGATCTAAAACATAGAGTTTTTATATGTCTAAGTCTTTAACAGGTTTAATCAAAGACCTCTTGGATATATGTCTTCGTGTGTGATAGTGTAAGAACTTTTGGATGCAAAAGATTTGTTTAAGAAACAATTTGTACCTATGTTATTCCGGAAAAAACAGTAAACTCTTAACTCATGTGAGAAGAGTCAGGTAGCTCATGTGACTAATGTGAATACAAGCCTGACTTGGGAAGAAATTTTCGTATGAAATATTTCATTAAGGCTTTCGTTAAACACACATAGAGTCTATAGAGGTTTTGGTCAACATGCTGCAACATGCTTCTAGGGATACCCTAACTACTACAAAAGTTTTGAAATATTTACCTGGCCCTAGAACTACAAGCATCAACCATTGAAATTCATCTTTGTTATCTAAAATAAAACACTAAAACAAAACAATACAAAACAAAATATTTTTGTGATTTTTGATTTTTCGAAAATAAAAGATAAAACAAATAAAAATCTTTTTGTTGTTTTTGTATTTTTCGAAAACAAATAACAAAAGAAATGAAAAATCTTTTTGTTGGTTTTGTATTTTTCGAAAGGAAATGACAAAACAAATGAAAAATCCTTTTGTTGTTTTTGTGTTTTTCGAAAAAAAAAAAATCAAATTGACGAAAATATTTAGAATGTACCATACACACAAAATTTTTAGCTCCTATTTACAAAAACGAAGGATGTCGAAGCATTGACTATGAACAGTAACCTTTGAATTTTGACAGCTGTCCAATGTTCGCTATTCTTTCGAAAAAGACTCCCCTTCGACCATTCCAAGTCCTCCTAAAACTCTCACAAATCATTTTTCATCTAATGGTTTTGTGAAAATATCAGCGAATTGATCAGTGGTTTTCACGAAATGCCCTTCAATATTACCATCCTCTACATGATCTTTTATGTAATGGTAACGAAGAGCAATATGTATGGTCTTTGAATGTTGCACAGGATTATGAAAAATATGAATTGCACTTTGAGAATCACAATATAATGGAATTATCTTCATACTTATTGCACAATAATGCAATTAACTTTGAATCAAAATTATTTGTGATGTGCAAGCTGCAGCAGCAACATATTTTGCTTCAGCAGTCGAAATTGAAACACATGTTTGCTTCTTCGATTGCCAGCTCACCAGTTTCCCATCAAGTAATTGACATCCTCCACTCGTGCTTTTTCGATCAATATTGCAACCTCCCAAATCAGCATATGAGAAAGCTTGAATAAAGAAACCTGTTTTTGAAGGATACCAAAATCTTAACGAAATCGAAACTTTGAGATAACGAAAAATATTCTTGACTGCAAAGAGATGTGGTTCTCGTGGATTTGTGTGACAATCGTCAATCTTGAGTCAAGTCAATTCATCAAGTCAAACCGGTCAACTCGATTAAACCTTGTGTATTAGGGTTTGTGTTATGTTCATACTGTATAACTTGCTATATTAATGGGAAAACATCAATTGGGAAAAGTCTTGTGTTAAAATTTCCTAGGCCTTAGTGCTAATCAAAGAACTAAACTGATAAAAACCATGTTGCATACTCATCGGGAGTGTGTAGGATCCTTAATCACGACTTAACGGGGCTCAAGAACCTTGCATTGCGGAGCCAAACACTCACAATTGTCACACATGGAACCTCTCTCAATCGTTTTCACTCTATCTCTCTCTATGTCAAATCTCTCCCAAATCTCTCCAAGTATGTGAAATCTCTCTCAAATATCTCTTTCTATGAGAAATATCTCCAAGAATGTCAAATCTCTCCCAAATCTCTCTAAGTATGTGAAATCTCTCTCAAATATCTCTTGGTATGAGAAATCTCTCCAAGAATGTCAAATCTCTCCCAAATCTCTCTAAGTATGTGAAATCTCCCTCAAATATCTCTTTGTATGAGAAATCTCTCCAAGAATGTCAAATCTCTCCCAAATCTCACCAAGTATGTGAAACATCTCTCAAATATCTCTTTGTATGAGAAATCTCTCCAAGAATGTCAAATCTCTCCCAAATCTCTCCAAGTATGTGAAATCTCTCCCAAATCTCTCTCAAAAGTTCCCGTAACTTTTTAGAATCATTCGGGTCATTCCGACCCTTAACCGGGTCAAAAACAGCTCAAAACGGAGAGAAAACGAGTAAAATAGGCTTTAGGAACCGAAACCCTTCTTAGGAACCGAAACCAAGAAGAAAGGCCTCTCGGGCCGAAACTCGCGAGGATAGAGCCTCTGTTCTCGGTCTCTGTCCCTTCTTGGTTCCCATGCCCTTCTCTCGGTCTCGGTCTCTGTCGCTTCTTGCTCTCTGTCGCTTCTCCTCTCTGTCGCCTCTCTGCTTCTGTTCGCCTCCCGCTTCTCTGCCTCCTCTCGGTCTCTGTTCTCTCTTCCCCTCTCGGTCTTTGTTCTCTCTTCTCTCCTCTCTGTCTCTTCTCTTCTCTCGGTCTCTCTTCTCCCCTCTTGGTTCCTACTCTCTCTCTTCTCCCCTCTCGGTTTCTGCCCTCTATCCTCTCGGTTTCAGCATCAGAAGACCGAAACTCGGCCAGATTTCGGAAATTTGTCACTTTTAGCCCGTTTTTGATATTTTAAACATTTTAAGCCTGTTTTTCGTGATTTTAAAGCAGGATTTTTTCCAAAAAGTATATTTTAACATAATAAACCCTAAATATTCATAATTTAAACATATTTTGATGAAAATCATTATCTAAATAATAAAGATCTAATGGGGGATTTATTTAAGGTGGAGTGTTGACCTTGCTTTAACTTATGTCACAAGCAACCACCCCACACCCACTCTATGACTAGCCACACCTCCCCACCTTACCTAGGTCACTTCAATGTCCCTTACACTCAATTGACACTTATTCCCACGTTTTTAGAGCTGGAATAAACATCCTCTCTCCTCATTTCTCTCATTTGCTCTCATTTCACTAAGTATCAAACACCACTTTTCTCTCAAACTTTTACTACACCAATTTCTAGATTCAAGGCTGATTTTCAAGTGTTATTCCACTCTTAGTAAGTAAAATTCATCCTCCTTATGATTATTTCACTTCATTCTACTCAAATTATTGATTGCTTACACAAACTTTATAACTGTGATGTTAGATTCTCGAAAATCTTCAAGGCATCTCCAAGTGTTCTTGAGTTAAACACT